GTACAGAGACGAGCGATTAAAGCAGAAAGCAGAATCCCTGAAACTTGAGCACTGTGAGAAGCTCTCCAGTCTGATTGGAATGCACAAAGGGGGCTGACCAGGACACACACGTTCTGTAGTTTTAATTTATTGCTATTTTAACTTATGGTTTTATTTTCCTTTGTATAAAAAGGGAAGGAGTCTATTGTAAAAAGTGTGGATATTTGAGTCCTTCTGCATAGACTGCAGAGAGGGGCCAACACAAGCTGCGGAGCTGGTGTTTGCTGTAATATATACTGTACACTATATTGGTTCCAAGGACCAGTGGCACTTTGTAAATGAATCCCCTGGGAAACGCTATTATTAGTTTGGAGCCCTTCCTCGTCAGTGGTTTGTCTGCCGTCCAGACAGTGTATGCTTCCCAGGAGGGCAGACAAATGTCTTTGCTTTCTGTGTTTGACATGGACCTGCAGCTCACTGATCACAGGAACAGTGTGCTCTCACAGACCCTGCTGCTGCAGTGGGCTCTCATGAGAACGTAGATGGAAGGCGGCGTGTTCCCTGTTGGGTTTCCTGTTCAGTGTGATGCGCAGTGCTTCCTTCACAAGAGACAGGAACCTGCTTCAGGTGATCTCCCGAGCACACTCCCTGCTCCGGGAGGGACTTCACACCGGGCTTGTTGGACTGGAGGGCTGTGCCCGTGCTGCTACGTGGTGAGACGGCACCAAGATCCCAACAGCAACATCAAACCAGAAGATGGATTGCACCCATTCCAGCAGCTGCCGAGCTGCAGAGAAAGGACAACCCTGTTTATTTTCTCAGATGTTTCCAGTGGCGTATTTTCAGGCTGGCTGTTTAATTCTCATTTTTACCTGCAAACTCTTCTCCAGCTGTTACAGGGGGCCTGCTTTTTCTGGTACAGGTTTGATGTAGCATATTTTTACTCTGTTGAGCAGTTATGAATGTTTCACTGTAGATATTAGTATTGCAAAGAAAAAAGATCCATGTAGCAGTGTCCTGTTATTTCTTGATCCCTTTTACAAAACCAGGCATTTGGAGGCAGGCTGAGGGTGGGTTGTACCTGTAAGAACAGAGGACAGTGTTACTCCAGTTGAATATCACCTGAGCCAGTTTCTCTGGTGGGTTGCCATGGGTGCATGCCAGCCATGGACTGAGCTGTTCTCACAAAGGATGTCTCCGAGCAGGACAGCAGAGGTGGTGCTCACCTCCCTGATGTGCAAGTATATGTCTGTTAGGACTGAGCACATCTCTCTTGTTGCCCCTGTGCCTAAAGTAACTCCTCACAACAGCATTTTTGTGTTAACATTTGCTTCCTGTTGGAATACTTGGGGAAGTTGAGCAGAGTTTGTCAGCCACTTGGGACAGGGAGAGGCCGGTAAAACAGCATTCGGAGGGGTGGTTGTGACACAGCTTTGGTGTGAGTGTCTTTAAAGGCAACAGTCCTTGATTCCTCTAGATTAGGAATGTGGCTGGCAGCAAGACGGGCAGCCTCAGTTCTGGTGTTTCCCAGTGGGGAGCACATAACATGAGTGTGTCCAAAAAGACAAATTAATGTTGCTTTTTATATAGTACATAGTTTGTAGAATGTGTTTGAAATGCACTGGGCTTTCTTCCAGGTTTGGTATCTTCCCTGTGTGGCTCCCACAGCTATAAAGGGATACAGGTGGGGAGAGCAATTCATCCATAGTACTTTGCACATAAAGTCGACTGCACCTTTCATCTAAGGGTATCGAAGGAGGTGGGAGAAGCACAGTTTTAGGCATCTTCTCTGCAAGCAGGGAAGAGGCCAGGCTGGAGGGGAGATAGGTGAGATATAGATTGCTTTTTGAAATACATGACACAGTGGTGGTGTGCACTGTGAGTGAGGGCACCGGGCTCTGAAATGGCTTTAGTGATACGTGCAGTAGAACTTGGAATCAGAATGGGTTGGGTTGGAAGGGGCATTAAAGCTCATCCAGGCACGGGCAGGGGGTTGGAACTGGATGAGCTTTAATGCCCCTTCCAACCTACCCAGGCTGGGATTCTGTGATCCTAAGAGGAAAAAAGGGACACTGTTATCAGGTGCCCAAGGCCGTTCAGTGCTCTTGGCATTTACCAAAGGTTACCTGCCCGGTGGCCATGGCCTGCTAATTACTTCTGAGGTCTCTAAAGGGACAAAGAGAGCTCCTCCAGGACATGCCTGGATCCAGCACGAGCACTGTGGGACACACCGTGTCCATAGCCATGTCCATGGTCATGGCCATGTCTCTGTCGGTGCTGGCACACGGGGGGAATACTCCCTCTTGGGGATACCAAGAACTTACAGATGGGTTTGGGTATATATGTAATGATTAAAGGAGAGCCGTGAAGCTGCCTTGACTGCCCACAAGGTGAATCTCTGCCTTACACAATGGAGAACCCTGCCTCACACAATGGAGACACCTGCCTCACAATGGAGAACCCTGCCTCACACAATGGTGAGCCCCAGGCTCACACAATGGAGAACCCTGCCTCACACAATGCCTTGCACAATAGTAGCCTTTGGCTGCCTGTGCCATGCAAAATGGAGGCGCGGCACCATGGCGGGGAGGGGCAGGGAGCCAGCGGGATAGCCGCGGGTCCCCAGGGCTCGATGGAAGCTGAGCCCGGCCCGGGGCGGCCCCGGGTCTGGGCCGGGGCCGCTCTCAGTGGAGGCCATGCCGCGGGCCCTTTAAGACTTGAGTGGGGGAGCGCGGCCGAGAGCCCATGCGTTGCTAGGAGACGGGAAAGTCTCGGCGCGGGAGCCGCCATTTGTCTCGGGAGTGCCGGAGATGGCGACGGGCGGTGAGGCCGTGGGGAGCCGGGAGCGGGGCCGGGGCTGGGGCTGTGACCGCGGGGGGCATCTCCCCTCCTCGGAGGGGCCGGGAGCCAGGAGGGGGGGGCTCGATGTGGGCGCGGGCTGTGAGCAGTGCTGCGGGGCGGGCTCAGCGCAGGGCACGCCCCCTGTCCCGGTGCGAGGGGTGCGCTCGTGTCCCCGCTGCGGGGAGCGGGCCCGGGCCGGGGCTGCCCATGGGCACGGCGGGGCTGCTGCGCTCCGGGCCCCGCTGTGGGGCGGCCGCTTCGCCCCCGGCATCGCCCCTGCGCCGTGCCTGCACCACGGTGCGTACCGCAGAGAGCCCAGGGCTCGGTCACTGGTGAGCCCGAGCTGTTGGTGTCTGCCCCGAGCGAACACGTTCCACCCCTGGGTGCCGAAGGGCTTGACATACGGAGCTGCTGGCGTGTCCTGGATGGCCAGACCCCTCCCGAAACCCGCCGGCAGCCTTTGCCAGGCAGGGCCGGTGTTCCCTGCGCCTCTGAGGCTGCGTAACGCAGGTCCAGCATGGGAGAGGCACGGCCTGCCTTCATCCTTGCTGCCTCCTGCAAGCTTCCCAGCCGCGGGAGGCGGGCATGCACAGATCTGGCACAGGAACCGAGTTAATAAGTAAAGGCAGTAGTAAGTCCATAGGCAGCATCACTGTGGCTTTAAACGTAAATCAGTGTTTAATGAACACGTCTGGCTCAACCTGGTCCACCCGTTGTTCTGTAACGTGTTTGTGCCTCGTTCTGCTCCCACACCCCCGCCCCGAGCTGCTCTCAATGGGTGTATTCTGGTTGGTGGGGGAACGGCTGGGATCAGGATCTCCACCGTGCCCTCCTCCCTCTTTCCTGCTTAGCATTCCCGGCCCACCCCGCTCTGGGGGCATGGACCCAGGAGCAGGAGGTGCAGCCTCTTGGTGTGCTGCTGAGCCAGGGCTGCCCAGCCGGTTCCCTCCCTGCTCCAACACACCCACACGGGTTGTTCTGGCAGCCTTGGGGATGTTGGAAGAAACCTGCCAGGCCAGCAGCCTGTGCTGCAGCCGGCCATGCTCTTCCCTATGGAGCAGGGGGTGTCTGGGGTCATCCCGTCACCGGCAGCACTGGGAGCGGGCGCTGGGGAAGCGGATGAGGGGCCCAGCCTCCGGTGGTGGTTTCGAGCCACCCTCGCAGCCTCCGGTTTGTCACAGCTGTTGGCACCGTTTCGGGTTTGGCAAGAGCTGGAGTGGAGGATGCAGCAGCAACAGGAATTGTGCTGGGAAAGAGGCAGAGGAAGGTTTAAAGCTGCTTCTTTACATGAGTTGTTGCCCCACACAGGGCAGCAGGAGCTGGAGGCAGAGGGATTGCTGCAGGGTTGATGGGTTTACCTTACAGCTCCCACAGCTCGTGTTCCCCTTGTCCCTGCTCTGCCCTCCCTCCTTGCCCCAGCAGTGGCACCCCAGATGTACCAACTGGACCAACCTCCCCTTCCCACCCAGTCCCAGTGGCACTGGGAAGCTGGGCGTGACCCTTGGCAGAGGAGAGGGAATGAAACAGCATCTCTGGGATCTGGAGCAAGGGATCAGCTCAGCCCGAGGGGACCTTCACCCCTCTGCTTGTCCATCCGAGTCCAGCAGCAGGTGGATGTGTGCTCATCCCCGCAGTGCTCCCGGCGGTGCCTCACAGGGCTGGAGCCAGCAGTGACTCAGCAGGTGCCTGCTGGGCTGCCACGAGGGGTGCTAAGCAGGAGCCGGACTCTGGGATGCTCCAAGGACCCCTCACATCCAGAGGGGGATGGAGCACCCAAGCAGCAGCCCGAGGTTTTGGGGTGCACTGAGCCGTGCAGGGGGCTCCTGTGCTGGCAGCCACATCCCACTGGGTCCCTGCAGCGCCAGGCTGTAGGGACTGAGGCCACCCGCACAAGGATACTGTGTTGGCAAGTGCTGCCCATAGGCAGGTCCCCTCCCCTCCCGATGGGCACAAATGCCACCTGCAAGCGCAGCCCTGCTGGGCAGCAAAGGGTTAAGCACCACACCGGCTACCATGGGAGCCTTCCTCCCTGCTACAGTTTAAATTTAGTCCCTGCTGAACCCGGAGGGCTTGGGCATCGGGTTGCTCCGGGTCTGGCAGTGCCGGCGAGCACCTGCTGCTGCTGCTGGGCAGTGAAAATCCCCCTCCAAAGCCAGGACCGGGCTCCAGCGGCGGCACGCTGCAGGGACCCTTGTGCCATGCCAGGCACCCGGCAGCCTGCTCTGAGTGTCCCCAAACAGGCAAGTCCTACCTGTGCATCCTTCGGCTCCTGTGAGTCCCAGAGGTGCTCAGTGCCTGCTTTGACACGAAGCCTTGAGTTGGCTCCTGCCTGCTTGGGACTAATTATGGGGGAGCTGCTGCTTGGGGCAGGGTGGGGTTTGCGGGAGGCCCCCGGGCTGAGACCACTGCAGTGAGGCCCTGGGGAAAGAGCCGTGATGGGGATGTAGCAGCAGCCTGGGGCTGCGGCTGTGCCCTGCGGGGGATGGGACAAGCCTGGCGTAGTCTGCGGGTCCCCCAGCTCCTGCTGCAGTCGGGGGCACCCATCCGGGTACCCCTATGGGGTGCGGGGTGCTCTGACACCTCACCTGTGGCTTTGGGGATCAGCGGCGCGGGTGTGGGGCAGGGGACGGTGCTGGCAGCCCCCCGGCAGCCCCCTGAGGCCGGGGGTGGCGGTGGCATCCCTGCAATGCGCTTGGCATCGCCGGCCCGGGCTGGCGCTTGCAGATGTCCATGTGATCAAGGGGCTGCTCGGTGCTGCGCCGGGTCCAGCCGCCGTGAGGGCGAGGCAGCCAGAAGGTCGAGCCGGCGTCCCCGGCACAGCGTCCCCAGCACCCGGGAGGGGTCCCCCGGCACCGGCCGGCGCCCCTCGGGGACACCCCTGCCATGATGCCCCGCGGGAAGAGGGACCCGGTGCTGCTGTCCCGCGCCGAGCTGCCCGGCACCGACGGCGAGGGCGGCCGCAGCAGCGGGGACGGCCGGCGCTCCGTGTCGGAGGAGGAGGAGGGCCACCTCGCCGGCCTCCCCCGCGACGACCTCGCCAAGAGCATGTCGGGCTCCTCCGTGTCGTCCTACCACTCTGCCCTGTGCTCCGACGGGACGGAGACCTTCAAGGACTGCCTGGAGTTCCTGGACGAGGAGGGGGGGACCCCCCCCAGGGCTGCCCCCAGCGTCCCCCCGCCGCCCGGCCCCCTCGCACGCCCGCGGCAGGCTCAGCTGTCCAACGCGGCTAAGAATAGCCCAGCGCCGGGGCAGGGCGGCAGGATGGGTCCCCTCGGTGGGGACCGGCAGGCTGTCACCGCCGCCACCGCCACCAGCAGCGGGGAGCTGGCTCTGCCCAGGGGGATGCTCGGCGAGGGGCCCAGCGATTCGGATGAGGTGGACGGCGAGGTGCGGGCGCTCACGGCCAGGGCTTTCCGGAGCATCTCCGGTCCCCCCGGCGCCCGGCTCGACATGTGCAGCTCCCACACCTCCTCCAGCCTCTCCAACTCACTGTCGGAGGACGGCGGGCGGCCGCGGAGGTGGCCGATGGCTGGCGGCGAGCCCCGGGGCACCGCGGCACCTCTCCATGGCAGGGTGTGCTGGCCCTTCCCCGCAGGCATGGACGGGGAGCTGCTGGGCTTGCTGGGAAAGGAACAGTTCGAGTGCGTGGATGTGGAGCTGGAGAGCGGTGAGGCCAGGAAGGGCCATGGCAAGAAGAGGACTGTCCCGAAGCGGCAGATCCTGCTGAAGAGGAAGGAAAGGAAGGAAACGGGTTTTGTCCCCCGGGGGGATGCCCCGGCCCCGCAGCCCGTGCCCCCTGCCAGGAAGGAGCCCCCCAGCAAGGGCAGAGCCATCGGTGAGGACTTTAGGCTCAACTACAAGCAGTTCATGAAGACGGCTTCCCTGGATGCCGACACCAGCAAGACCAGGGCGGCCTCTTGCCTGGTGAAGAACGTCCTCGCCAAGAAAATGCAGTACGAGCAGAGGATCAAGATGGAGCAGAAGGGGCTGCGGGGCAGCTCGACCTCTTCGGGGCCATCCTCCGCCGGCACCGACCTGCTGGGTGATGGTCTGGAGGGCAAGTCCAGCTCCTTATCCCGCTCCGACTGCAGCTTCTCAGCGGAGGACTTGCGGGGTGGCGGGATGCCGGTGGCACCGGTGGCCGTGGGGAACGCCGCCACCACCCACCCCGCCAAGGGGGTGGTTCTGAGCAAGGCGACCAGGGAGAACGTCTGCAAGCTGAAGAAGACCTTCAACGAGCTCAACGAGAGGATCAAGTACCAGGAGGTGATGGAGGGCCACTGGCTGCCCGGCACCACCGAGCAGCCGCCGCCGGAGAGGATCCGCTACCGGCAAGCCCGTGCCTTGTTCGAAGCGCAGCCTGGGGTGGGGAAGGTGCTGGATGTCGCCCCGAGGTTTGGGAGAGCTCCGAAGCCGTGGCCCAGCTTGAGGCAGCGAGCCATCTGCCCCGGCCACCCGCAGACCCTGCCCGCCGAGCCCGACCCCTTCCCTGCTGTGCCTCCGCGCCGCACCTTCACCTCGCGGGCGCAGGACGTGAGGCTGGTGCCGCAGAACCGACACGAGGAGAAGCCCCCGGCGGCGCCGCGCCAGCCCCCCAGCCCCCCGGCACGGCGGTCCCCGCCGCCCGTGCCCCCCAAGCCGGAGGAGAAGGGGAAGGGGCGCATCCCGCAGCCCCGCGACGTGCGCAAGCTGGTGAAGAGCAGCTACAGCCTCTGCTTCGGGACCGCCGGTGCATCCCGCGGCACCACGGCCCCGGCGAGCAGCGCGGAGCCGGCCGCGGCCGCCCCGCTGGTGATCCACTGCAGCTCGGTGTGCCGCCGGGAGCCCGCGCCGCGGCCGGGACACGAGGAGGTGCCGGCAGAGCCAGCCCCGCTGTGTAACCGGGGCAGCCGCTCCCCCCCGCCGCGCCGCTCCCCCGTGCACATCACCAGGGTCCAGGCCACACGGCGGGGCTCGGCTGCAGCGGAGGGGCCTCCGGCGTCCCCCCCGCGCCGGGAGCGCAGCGAGCTCCGGGTCCCGCCGCGGGCAGCGACGGCCGAGGGGGTGCCCCACATGGAGACCCACCTCCACGTGCTGGTGGGGCCGCGCTCCGGGGCAGGGCTCCCGGCGCAGAGCAGCGCGGTGCTGCGCACGGAGAAGACCGTCCTGCTCCCGCCGCCGGCCCCGAGCCCCGCGGAAGGACACGGCCACGGCCACGGCGGTGACCCCCATCCCGGAGCGGGGCCTGGCAGCACCGCGCACCCGCGGCCGGGGAAGGCGGCAGCGAGAACCGCGCCAGAGCCGCCTGCAAGAGAGCAGGGGCAGCACCGGGCCCAGGCCCCGCTGGTGTCGGGGGGCAGCGGCGGCTCCGCGGGTGGCTCCGGCCCCGTCGCCCCGTTCCGGGGTGGGGAGGGCGCTGAGGCTGCCTCTGCCCGGCTGCCGGAGCGGAGGGACCCCTGGGAGCGCCCGACGTGGCCGGCAGCCCCCGAGCCGGCCCCTGCCGCTGCCCCGGCCGAGAGCTCCAACTACTTGGCAATTCCTGAGAAAGCCCCGAAACCGGCTCCGGGGCCAGCGCTGCCCCTGGTCCCCAGCGCGGCCAGCGGCTCCTTTGGGAGCCCTGCACTCCCCAGCGCCGCCACTGCACCCTTTGGGACCCCTGCAGCCTCCAACCCCATCACTGCACCCTTTGGGACCCCTGCAGCCTCCAACCCAACCAGTGCACCCTTTGGGACCCCTGCAGCCTCCAACCCAACCAGTGCACCCTTTGGGACCCCTGCACTCCCCAACCCAACCAGTGCACCCTTTGGGACCCCTGCAGTCCCCAACCCAATCACTGCACCCTTTGGGACCCCTGCACCTCCAACCACCACACCCAACCCCATCACTGCACCCTTTGGGACCCCTGCAGCCTCCAACCCCATCACTGCACCCTTTGGGACCCCTGCACTCCCCAACCCAACCAGTGCACCCTTTGGGACCCCTGCAGTCCCCAACCCAATCACTGCACCCTTTGGGACCCCTGCAGCCTCCAACCCCATCACTGCACCCTTTGGGATCCCTGCAGCCTCCAACCCCATCACTGCACCCTTTGGGACCCCTGCAGCCTCCAACCCAATCACTGCACCCTTTGGGACCCCTGCAGTCCCCAACCCAACCAGTGCACCCTTTGGGACCCCTGCAGTCCCCAACCCAATCACTGCACCCTTTGGGACCCCTGCAGTCCCCAACCCAATCACTGCACCCTTTGGGACCCCTGCAGTCCCCAACCTTGCCAGTGCACCCTTTGGGTCCCCCTTTGTTCCCAAGCCAGCCAGCACATCTTTTGGGACTGCCACAGTCCCCAGCATGACCAACTCACCCTTTGGCTACCCATCAGCCTCCAGCCTGGCCAGCGTATCGTATGGGACTCCCTTGGTCTCCAACCCTACCAACAAGTCTTTTGGGACCCCCGTGATCCCCTACCCAGCCAGTGGCAGTGCATCCTTTGGGAGCCCTTTGGTCCCCAGCCTGTGCAGTGCATCATTTGGGACCCCTTTGGTCCCTAATCCATCAAGTGTATCCTTTGGGACCCCTTTGATCCCCAATCCATCCAGCACATCCTTTGGGCCCCCCTTGGTCCCTAACTCAGCCAACACATTCTTTGGCACCCCATTGGTCCCCAGTCGATCCGGCACATCCTCTGGGACCCCCCTGGTCCCTAACTCAGCCAGTGCTTCTTTTGAGAGCCCCTTGGTCTCCAGTCAATCCAGCACATCCTTTGGGTCCCCCTTGGGCACCAGCCCAGTCCCCACTTCCTTTGGGCACCCACCAGTCCCCAGCATGGCCAGCTCATTCTTTGGATCCCCGCTGGGCCCCAACCCAGCCAGTGCCCCACTGGGGGCCGGTGTGTCTCCCCTGCCCGGTGGGGACGTGCCCTGGAGCAAACCCAGCACCGAGCCCCCCCTGCCCCGGCCCCCCCAAGGCCTGGTGGCTGCAGAGCACCCGGTGCCCTCAGCCCAGCCTCAGCCTCGCCTCGAGGATGCTCCCCCCTTCCTAAGGAGCACTGATGGTGCCTCTCCAAGCAGTAAGAACACACCAAGCTCCACCAAGCCCTTTGCTCCCCCCCTGCCCACACACCGGAGGATGCTCGTGGATCCCGACAGTGGGAAATGCTACTACATGGAGCCCCCGCGGCAGCCCCAGCTGAAAACCCTGTACGACCCCGAGACCGGGCAGTACCTGGAGGTGCTCGTCCCACCAGTGGCGTCACACGCCGGGCTCTACCAAGCTCCTTACAACCCCCTGGTCATGCCCCCGGGGGTCTATGGCCCACCCTATGTGCCCTACAGTGGCTTCCAGGGGCTCCCGGTACCCCCGGCACCCTCTGCCCCATCTCCAGTGCACCCTGACCCGCCGGCCGCTGACACCCCCAGCTTCTCTGGGACCTTCAGCTCTGCCCCCAAGGGCGAGGGGCCGCCCGCTGCCGGGGGTCCCGACTGCGGGTACCTGGAGAGCCTGTACTACATCCCCACGGGGATGCGGGCCAGCCCCGGGCCCAGCCAGCCCCCTGCCCGCAGCAGCCCTGCAAGGCCTGAGCAGGGACCACTGCTCCGGATGTGATGGTCCTCGATGGATGTGAATGGCCGGGCTTTAACCCCAGCGTAAGCATCATCCCCAGCATGGGAGAGAGCTGCTGAGGAGCTGAGCAGGAATTTGCACTGGCTGGACCTCAATGGGCTGCATGGGAATGGGGAGGGAAAGCATTTCCCAATGTGAGCATGTGGCAGCCCCGGGGGTCTGCAAAGGGACCAGATGCATGGCCCCTGCTTTCCCAGTGTTGCTGGTCCCGTCCCAAGGAAGACCTGGGCTGCTTGAATGGCCACGGCTGCAGCACAGACACCCTGGAACAGCAGCGAAGATGCTGAGACACCATTAAATGTTCCATCTTCACCCTGTCTTTGTGTGGTCTGTAAAGGGGGTCAGGGGCTCCCGCTGGCACTTTGGGGGGTGAAGGACTCGGGCACTGCAGTCCCTCCATGTCCATCTGTCCCAGAGTGTCCAAGGGGAGCAGGCGGGGGTTCTGTGATCATCAGTAAGCCCTGAACCCAGCCCTTGAACCCCAGACCCCAACCCTGAACCTCACACCTCTGATCTGAGTCCCCACTCCTTGAACCCCAAACTCAGCACCAAAGCTCAGTCCTGAACCTCACATCTCATCCCTGAGACCCAGCCTTGAACACCAAACCCTGACCCCCAAGCCTCACTCCTGAACCCCCAGACCTGAGCTCAGACCCCATCCCTGAGCCCCAAAACCAGCCTTGACCCCCAAGCCCCATCCCTGAGCCCCAAGCCCCAACCCCATCCCCATTCCGGGTAGGATGAAACCAACCCAGGGAGGGTTTGTGTCCGGGCACAGGCCCGGATTGAATCACACCAAACCCCTCCCTGAGAGGGGCCAGGGACACCCCATGCACCCCGCCCCGACACCGCGGGGATGGCCACGTCAGCCGGATGCAGGTGCCTCAGGCACGCATCAGTGCCCGGGGTTATATCGGCCCCGCGCTGCCCCCCGGCCCCATCGCACCGCAGAGGATGCAGCCGGCGCTGCTGGGGCTGCTCCTGAGCCTGCTGACAGGGGCTGGAGGGGAGGGGATGTGCGGGGACCCCCCCGGCGCCCCGTCCCGCTCCATCCCTGCACCGCGGCTCAGCGCCGAGGAGCGGCTCTCGCCCCACATGCCCGAGTCCCTGCGCTGCGACGCCTGCCGTGCCATCGCCTTCCAGGTGGGCACCGGGAGATGGGGCCCGGCTCCGGGAGCGAGAGCCCCGCGGGGATGCTCTGGCTGCGGAGGTGCTGCTGGACCCCAGAACAGCCCTTTGGGGCCAGCGAGCTCCCTTGCTCATGGACCCTGCATCCCCATGCAAGAGCGCTTCCACTGCTGGGCCTCAAGGAAGAGGATGCAGACCTGTGCCCACTGGGGTGCAGGGTCATGATGGAGGCTGCCTCCGTTACTGGCCCATTTCTGCCCTTTTTCACCCCAGATTGAGGAGCAGCTGAGCAGGGCAGAGGGGAAGGTGGGCAAGAAGGTGCTGAGCGAGTCCGACTACATGGAGGTGCTGGAGAGGAGCTGCTCGCAGGGCTGGGAGAGGTGAGCGGGGTGTCCCTATGGGGCGTCCCTGGGGATGGGGTGTCCCAGAGATGGGGTCTCACCACCCCCTGCCTCTCCCCGCAGCTATGGGGTGCAGGAGCTGGATGGGGAGAAGCGTCTGGCGGGGCCGGGGCTGCCAGTGCAGGAGCCCATGAGTGTGATGGTGACGGGGGGCCCCTGGCCGGGCAGGTAAGGGGGAGGGGGTGTTGGCAGTGGGGGGTGCCGGGCACTGTCCCCTCCCCACCATGGCGGGGGGTGCGCTGTGCCCCACACGTGGCTCCCCGCAGGCTGTCCAAGATGTGCCACGGCGCCGTGGGGCAGCGGGGCGAGGCGCAGGTCTATGGGGCGCACCGGCGGGGCCCGGCCGCGCTGCGGGAGCTGCTGTGCCACGGGGACAAGGGGCCCTGCGCCGGCGGCAAGGCCGGGGGGGCGGCCCCCCCCAAGGCGCCGCAGAACGAGCTGTAGCCCCGCTGCGGTTAATGCTTAATGCCCCGGCGACCTTCGGAACCGACTTCGTCCCCAGCGGGAGCCGCCGCGCCGGGAGGAGGGAGCTCCCCATCCATCGCCGGTGTCACCGCGTCCCCCCGTGCCCGGCGCTGCCGCGGTGATGCCGCCGACACCCAGCGTCCGGGCCCCCCCCCAGCGGGGCCAGCTCCGGGCTCTGATGCTTGACCGCCGCCGTGCCAGCCCCGATTAAAGGAGTTAATGGCTGATCCGGCCCCAGGCAGCACTCCCCGGTTTCACAACCCGCAGCCAATGGTGGCCTCGCTGCCTGCCACCCCGTGCCACGGCCCGGCTGGTGACTAAAGTCCTTCCCATGGCCATAAAACCCCCGTGCGGTGACATCGCCGCGGGGGCCGCATCACCGGAGCGATGGGGACGCGCTCGGGAGACCTGGCTCAGCCCCAGGTGAACGCAGCCTCTGACACCATCCCCATCCCCATCCCCGTCCCCGTCCCTGTCCCCTCCTCAGCCGTGTCCCAGGCAGCAGGGAGGGAGGTGGGTGATGGGAGGGACTGGAGCCCCCAGTGGCGGCCAGCTCAGGGCTGTGACGCCCAGCAAAAGGCAAAGGATGGGGTGAGCCTGGGGGCTGCGGTGGGGCCTGGGACCAAGCAGACACGCGGGGATGCTGCGGCTGGGACTGGCTGTGCCACCCTCGCTGGCAGCGTGGTCCAGGCCCCCAGGGGCAGGGGGACCCCCTCTAAGCACCCCTGGGGACAAACCAGCACGCAGGGACCGGTGGGTTTGGGGATCGGAGCCGCCGCACGTGCGGAGCCGTGGCCCTCGTGTCCCCAGGGCAGAGCCCCGTTCCCATGGGACACCCGGGACAACACTGACCCGGCTGCTCCTCGCCCTCACTGCCAGAATGGGAGCCTGGCTCCCACCCCCACCGGCCTCCCTTGCCCCCCTGGGAAGGAGCCGCCTGGCGCAGGCAGGGTGAGTACAGGGGCACCCCCGAACCCTCCTGCACTGCACCAGTGGGTGCACACCGGGAGCGGGACCCCCCCCTATCCCTGAGGGCGCAGGGGGTCCCTGTGCCACCCCTGGGGACACTGCGGGGTCCCTGTGGCGAGCTGGGGCTGAGCCAAGTCCCCACACGCCAGGAGCCCAAGGAGGGTGCCAGGCCCCCCCGGCCGGAGGTGGACATGCTCTACAAGATCGAGGATGTGCCCCCCTGGTACCTCTGCATCCTGCTCGGCTTCCAGGTACAGCCGGGAAGGGGGCAGCCCCCATGGGCCCCTGCTCCCACCCCAGCCCCGCTGAGCCCCCCTTACCCCCCGGCCCCCCCCAGCACTACCTGACCTGCTTCAGCGGCACCATCGCTGTCCCCTTCCTGCTGGCTGAGAGCCTGTGCGTGGGCAAGGACCAGCTCACCGTCAGCTACCTCATCGGCACCATCTTCACCTGCGTCGGCCTCACCACCCTCATCCAGACCACCGTGGGCATCAGGTAGAGCCGTGGCGCCGGGGCGGACCCACTGCTGCTCCGCAGGCCATGGGCACAGCATCCCCTGTCCCCCCCAGGCTGCCTCTCTTCCAGGCGAGCGCTCTGGCCTTCCTCGTCCCAGCCAAGTCCATCCTGGCCCTGGAGAAGTGGCGCTGCCCTCCTGAAGGTGAGGGCAGAGGGGAGCAGGGGGGGTCCAGCCACTGCCCCCCCCATCCAGGGACCACCTCATCCCCCTCCATCCCCAGAGCAGATCTATGGCAACTGGGTGCTGCCGCTCAACACATCCCACATCTGGCAGCCCCGCATGCGAGAGGTACGGCCCGGCCCGGCCCCCCCCGCCCCGGGACCCCGCAGCGCCCCGCAGCGCCTGACCCCTGCCTGCCCTCCCTGCAGATCCAGGGAGCCATCATCGTGTCCAGCCTGGTGGAGGTGGCCATCGGGCTGCTGGGGCTGCCCGGGGCGCTGCTCAGCTACATCGGGCCGCTGACCGTCACTCCCACCGTGTCCCTCATCGGGCTCTCCGTGTTCCAGGCGGCCGGCGAGCGGGCCGGCTCCCACTGGGGCATCGCCGCGCTGTACGGCACGGGGATGGGGGGACAAAGGGGTCGGGGGCCAGGAGGATGCCCGGGGTACGAGGGGCCTCCCTCGTCTCTGTTCCCCCCAGGACCATCTTCCTGATCGTGCTGTTCGCGCAGTACCTGCGGCACGTCTCCATCTGCCTGCCCGGCTACCGGCGCGGCAGGGGCTTCGTGCTGCTCCGCATCCAGATCTTCAAGATGTTCCCGGTAGGGACTGGCCGGGAGCCGCCCGGTCCTGGAGCATCCCCCAAACCCCCCCTATTGCTACACACGGGCAATGCAGGGGGTGTGCCCGCTCCGTGCCCCTGCAGATCATCATGGCCATCATGGTGGTGTGGCTGCTCTGCTACGTGCTGACTCGCACCGGCGTCTTCCCCAGCGAGCCCGAGGCGTACGGATACAAGGCCAGGACGGATGCAAGGGGGGAGATCCTGTCTGTGGCACCCTGGTTTCGGGTGCCCTACCCCTGTGAGTGCCAGGCAGGCGCGGGGTCCCTTCAACGCCCCTTCACCCTGAGGGATGCAGCATCAGTTGGGCTGGGGAGCACCAGGGGTGTTGGGACCCTGGCATTGCGCTCTGCTCCCCGCAGGCCAGTGGGGTCTGCCCACGGTGACCTCGGCGGCGGTGCTGGGCATGTTCAGTGCCACACTGGCGGGCATCATCGAGTCCATTGGGGACTACTACTCCTGTGCCCGGCTGGCAGGAGCCCCCCCGCCCCCCGTGCATGCCATCAACAGGTACAGCAGCTGCCCCCACACTGGTACCCCGCTCGTGCCATGGATCCCTGTGGGAGCGGGCAGGGATGCTGCAGGGCGGCAGCGATGGGGACCAGCCCGTTGGTGTTGTTCCCAGGGGCATTTTCACTGAAGGCATCTCCTGCATCATCGCGGGGCTGCTGGGCACCGGCAACGGCTCCACCTCCTCCAGCCCCAACATTGGTGTCCTGGGCATCACAAAGGTACCGGGGCCTGGGCCAGGTCCCACTCGGGGGGGGGGACATGGGCACCATCACCCGCTGC